GGGATTCTTGACTAGAAGCTCTCGCCGACAGGTTCTCTTAGCTATTTGTTACCTCAGCCGAGGAGCTTACACAAGACTGCTTACACTCTTGTCTCGGCTGCATGGCCATCGAGAGACATAATTTGCCACCATATTTCAAATGCTATGGGACATTACTTTGGCCGAAGCCTACAAATTGACATTTAGGTCACTACCTCGGCTCGGGGAGCCTACAATAGACTGTTGAGAAAACATTACCTCGGCTTCGGGAAAGCCTACAATAGCGTCATTCCTGTATCGGTCGCTTGGTCATAGGGAGACATATTTAGCTTTTGTCACCACCGCGTAACTTTCATAATTGCCACAACCGCGTAGCATTCAAAGACCATCAGACATTACCTTGGCCGAAGCCTACAAATTGACATTTTCTTTTCATCACTGCCACCACTGCGTGTCTTTTGAGTGACGTTTTAAATTGCATAGCACATGGGGATGATATGTGAAGGATAGACCTGTAATTGCCTTCGGGCAGTGTTAGCAGTGTCGCACTCTGAAAGAAACTGGGCCTCTATAATTTAATATTAACAAAAACAAATCAGTGTGTGCGCCTGTGTACAGTAACACTGCATTTTACTTCCCAGGACCACCAAGGTGTCCACGACATGGAGGTGACAGCCATTAAATCCAGCCACTCCAGTGACAGAGTTCGCAAGTCTCTTGAAAATCACTTTCTTTACACTTTGGGAACTCTGGCGCCCAGTGGACTAAACTGCCAACACAGCTTCCTCTAAATCCTAGGGCGCTGAACTGCCTACACAGTTTAGTTTCATTCTCAAGTGACGGCCCCTGGCATATCGCTAGATATTTATTTTCCCGGCCCCACGTGCCTCGCCAGACTATTGTCTTGACATCGACCTGGCTGCCCGAAATACGAAGATAAGTGATTTTGTGTGTTGGTGTAGTATTGTATAATCTGTGTAGGCTATATGCCGAAGAAGGCTCCATACCCGCAACGTTTACGTTTTGTTTGTGTTTGTTATTTTATGAAGCTTGTTGCTATTGCAGTCTTAAGATGCTTTTCGTCTTTTTTTTTTTTTTGGGGGGGGGGGGGGTGGCTATTGCTCAAAGTAATAAAATCTATCACAGTTAGAAATAGGTAGATATAATCTCTACTTTCTATCCTTAAGTAGTTTATGAACAGTCTGATTGACTTGGTATCACTGGTGGGTTTTGGTTTGATATCCCACATTTAACATTGTTCTCTCAGTAAACTCTCCCCCCCCCCCCCCCACCCACCCCCCACCCCCCCCACCAGTACAAATAAGCCAAGTGACGTGACTCCGTACTGCATGAAGTGAGATTGTTTCTCCATGACCCGATTTCTTCTTTTTAAAATTAATGTCGTGTGGCATTGTTAGTCATGTCTATCTACAACCTTCTGTCTCGTGTACTTACATTCAACTCTGACACACATGAGTTTCCATGCTATGATGTAAAACCTTCCAGCATATGTTCTCTTGGTCTCCGTCTGCCTCTCCTTCCCTCCAACTTTCCTACCATCACGATGTAATCCAGTTTTCTCCTTTTCATCACATGACCAAAGAATGTAGATTGTCTCTGTCTGATGTGGGCAATCAGTTCTCTTCTTGGGTCAGTTTCTTTCAAAACGTCTTCATTGCTCTTTTTATCTGTCCAAGATATTCTCATCATTCGTCTATAAAACCACATATCCGCAGCTTCCAAATAATTTTTCACTTATTTACTAACTACCTATGATTCACAACCGTATATCAATACAGGATTTATATAGCTTTTAAGATTACAGTTTATTACAGGTTAATTACAGAAGGCTTTAAGGCTTTGGTTTATCTAGGTCATGATCCGTCTAGGAAGACAACATACTCATACACCAGCTAAACAAGTTTACGCCGTATCTTCCACTTGTTCCAGTGAGGATGACGGTCAGGAATTCAATCTAGATCTTTTTATGTTACATTTTGTCTGGCTTTCTTTCTGGCCTAATTTGAATAGCTGCTTGGCTTAAAATGAAATGTATTTTTTTTTCTTTCCATCGGGCAACCCTGCTCGTCTCAGACGGCATAGTTCGAATCGTGCTATCTCTCAATGCACTGACAAACTGATATCGTTGTCTACCTCACTTTAGCTACAGAGTTCGTGCTTCTTTCTTCCTCCAACACTCTCGGTAAACAGCAAGCCTTTCTACGGTCATAGCGGATGAAACCCAAGGCAACAAAGTTGATTCTATCGACTTGGAACTTGTCACGCATAGCTACTGAACAGAATATAACTTTGTCATAAACTTTAGTACACTTAAAATCTGTGTACTTTAAACGTGACTTTCCAGGATCTGCAACAGTATGTACCAGTTGGTGTGCTGACATATTTCCATGTCACGACAAAAAGGTGTCAAGAAGCTTCTCTCGGTGTCTTACTTGATCCGTGTTCCACAAATCTTTCCAGTTGCCAAACCACAGGCCGGAAGTGGCAGAGAGAGAACCAAATCGCTGTCGTCTGTCATTCGGCCATTGATTGTTGTAGTTGAGTTTTGAAGCAAGTTACTCTCCCACATACCAACACATCCAACAACACTTCTTGTACATCTCAACAGGTACACTTTTGTTCTGTTTAGTCGTCACGGAACGACAGTTCATTTTAAATTGTTGGTTTATAAAAAGAGTCATCATTCATGTCAACAAACTTTAGTGGCGATTTAATTGATTGCGCTGTCGTCATAAAAAAGGGACTTTTACTACTTTTAGTGCATTTTTAAAAACAGAATCATTTTGCACTTATAAAACCAGCACTTCTGGATACATATTGAAAGTATCTTTCCAGTGGTACTTCATCTATGTCTGTTTGTCAATTCTAAGCCGAGATATCAAGGTTATTATAATTTTTTTTTGAAATAAGATACTTAATAATTATGAATATATAATATAATTGGCTCTCCGAACTTCGTCCCCAATGAATGAATGAATGAATTTCTACCCCACCAGGACATCACACAAGCGATAAACACCCGATGACACAAAGTGCCACCATGCGGATGAGGATCGCCGTGGAGAGGTCCCAGAAACCGCGTTCAGACATTTGGCCATATTTATGGCCTGCCTATATTGCGGCCCCTGGCAAAAGCCAGAGTAGGGCTTCAAATGACAAAAAATTTCGTCCCGAAAAGGACGAAACTGGATTTTTTGAATAGTTGACTTCGTCCCCAATTATAATGGTCCCTAAAAATACCCTAACAGAGCCTATGTCGTGTGTAAATTGTGGAGTGCCTGCTAAAAAACAAATCGCGGCAAAGCTAGGATTGCCTCCGAATAACTGGCCAATATTATCAAGGGCAAACAATAACAGGGTCTCAGCGATATGGTAATTGCGGACATGTTTCTGCGACTGTGCAGCACATCCGACAGCATCCCACACGCCGCCACGCGCATTGCAGATTGGGGGCTAAACTAGATGGCTGGGACTCACAAGCATATAAATTGGAGGCAGTTGCAGAAGATGCGGTAGCTGCTGCTCGTAAGTCCCAACCATCTAGTTTAGCTCCCCCATTCGCGCCGCGCTAAGCGGCGTGGGGGATACGCTAGGCGGTGAATTTAATCAGAACACTATCACTAACCTGCGTCAGAGCGCATGGTCTCTCCCCCCCCCCCTCATGTCGCTATTATCGTGTGTATTGTTGCATTTCTCAAAATTGTCAATGGATAGAGTAATCCTAGTTTTGCCGCTATGTGTTCCTCGGAGGAAGTCTGAACTTAACACATGACTGAGGCCCTGTTAGGGTATTTGGCCGCCATAATATGGGGACGAAGTTTGGAGGAGAGCCATATAATCATTATATTTATGATATAAAGTAGAACATTAAACTTTTTCCTTAACAAAAATAATCATTTAATTATTATTATTATTAAGTTTCACCACCAAAAATGTTGTTTGATTATTGATTAGATATCCGATTTTTCACAAGGATTAATTTGTTAATCATTACCCAGTGTACTTGGATTAAATGGAGCCTATGTCAGTGCATGTGTTAACTCTTTCAACAGGATTTTCTGGGGTTTGGACAGCACAAACTACTGTTTTTTTGTTTTTTTTCAACTGCAGTATAACAATGCTAGAACTGGCCTGATTAAAACGTTTTGGCTGTATAGTGACAGGTAGTATATGAAATTAAAATTAAAGGGAACTGAGTACAGAATACATCAAAACTATTTAGGGATCAGGGCTATCCTATTTGTGACAAAATGTTGTGGCACTCTTATGTACATGACATCTGTCAACCACTCTTAGCTGTGACAAAATGTTGTGGCACTCTTATGTACATGACATCTGTCAACCACTTATAGCTGTGACAAAATGTTGTGGCACTGTTATGTACATGACATCTGCCAACCACTTATAGCTGTGACAAAATGTAGTTGCACTATTATTTACATGAAATTTTGCAAAATAAATTAATACTGAAAAAGAATAACATAGTCTAGCAAATGTTGATTACTGAGTGAATATCAACAGTAGATCTTTAGCACTGTCTCTCACAAAAGTTGTACTCAGACTTCTCTTGTCCAATTTCTGGTGTTATCTTCAAACTTGCATTGTAATCCATCTTTTGTGTCCCCCCCCCCCCCCCCCCCCACCCCCATCCCTTTTTCAAATATAAATCTTCTGAGGGAGAATTGAAATTGTCTTTTAATAAAGCAATTACAGGTGACTTGTTCCTTTTCATTACTTTCATCAGCTCTCTTTCAGTTTTTTATTTTGACTGAAACATCTACAATTTGTTTCTGTGGAACATGACTTATTCAGCTGTTGCAAGCAGTTGATCTCTCTGTACAAGATATCATCCTACCCACACAAAACATATTAAATTGAATTTGTTTCCTGCCTTTTATTCCCTCAGCAGAACTGTTTAAGAATCACAGTTCTTTTTTTCTTTTCATTTTTTTTTAAATTTTTATTTGTTTTCGCAGGATCTAGGTGACACAAGCATTAATATGGCCATGAAAAGAATTTCAAAGGTAAACCAGTATGATACCCTTTCATTGTTGTCTATTTTCTCTCTGCTCTACATGCTTGTTAAAACATCTGTGCAAAAAGTGTAATCAGAAATTGATGGGACCTGTGTCAGTTTGAATACGCTCAGTAATTGATGGGGCTCTACTTCATAGACGATAACAGTGCTCTTAAAAAAGTACAGTGGGATAAGAACAGTTTGTCCCATCTGTCAAGATGGACATGAAGATTGCAGTCTGTTTATTCGCTCTGACAAAACCTTGTCATCCAGAAATATCAGTCATCGATGAAGAAATAGAAAAATGACACATAGCTTGGCCCCTTGATAAGTAGTGATTAAACTGCAGTAGAGGATAGGTGACTGTCCCTATCAATCAGGATCCACTTTTGCTTGTGAGGAGGAATTTGGTGGTCTTATGCTCAGTGGGTAGCACTGGCTGTTGTCATTCCAAGTGATTGTGTAATGTTTGTCATAATCTTCTCCTTATGTTCGTTTCTTTTTTGTCATCTGTCTTCTCCGTGTGTTCGTTTCTCTAATGTCATCTGTCTTCTCCATGTGTTCATGTCTTTAATGTCATCTGTCTTCTCCTTGTATTCGTGTCTTTAATGTCATCTGTCTTCTCCTTGTGTTGGTGTCTTTAAGTCATCTGTCTTATCTTTGTGTTGGTGTCTTTAATGTCATCAATCTTCTCTGTGTGTTCGCTTGTTTAATGTCATCTATCTTCTCCTTGTGTTTGTGTTTTTAATGTCATCTGTCTTCTCCTTGTGTTTGTGTCTGTAATATCATAATCATCTCCTTGTGTTTGTGTCTGTAATGTCATCTGTCTTCTCCTTGTGTTTGTGTCTGTAATGTCATCTGTCTTCTCCTTGTGTTTGTGTCTGTAATGTCATCTCTCTTCTCCTTGTGTTTGTGTCTTTAATGTCATCTCTCTTCTCCTTGTGTTTGTGTCTGTAATGTCATCTGTCTTCTCTTTGTGTCTGTAATGTCATCTGTCTTCTCCTTGTGTTTGTGTCTGTAATGTCATCTGTCTTCTCCTTGTGTTTGTGTCTGTAATGTCATAATCATCTCCTTGTGTTTGTGTCTGTAATGTCATCTGTCTTCCCCTTGTGTTTGTGTCTGTAATGCCATCTGTCATCTCCTTGTTTGTGTCTGTAATGTAATCTGTCATCTCCTTGTGTTTGTGTCTGTAATGTCATCTGTCTTCCCCTTGTGTTTGTGTCTGTAATGTCATCTGTCATCTCCTTGTGTTTGTCTGTAATGTCATCTGTCTTCCCCTTGTGTTTGTGTCTGTAATGTCATAATCTCCTTGTGTTTGTGTCTGTAATGTCATCTGTCTTCCCCTTGTGTTTGTAATGTCATCTGTCTTCCCCTTGTGTTTGTGTCTGTAATGTCATCTGTCTTCCCCTTGTGTTTGTGTCTGTAATGTCATCTGTCAGCTCCTTGTGTTTGTGTCTGTAATGTCATCTGTCTTACCCTTGTGTTTGTGTCTGTAATGTCATAATCTCCTTGTGTTTGTGTCTGTAATGTCATCTGTCTTCCCCTTGTGTTTGTGTCTGTAATGTCATCTGTCTTCCCCTTGTGTTTGTGTCTGTAATGCCATCTGTCTTCCCCTTGTGTTTGTGTCTGTAATGTTATCTGTCTTCCCCTTGTGTTTGTGTCTGTAATGTCATCTGTCATCCCCTTGTGTTTGTGTCTGTAATGTCATCTGTCAGCTCCTTGTGTTTGTGTCTGTAATGTCATCTGTCATCTCCTTGTGTTTGTGTCTGTAATGTCATCTCTCTTCTCCATGTGTGCTTTGATATCAGATCCTGTTAGGTGTAGCGCCTCTGTTGGTAGTTTGGGCTACATTCTAAGGCAATAGCTGACTATTTGGTTTTCTCCTTCTCATTGAATTTGGTACAGGGTATTGTTTCCCCAGCCTATAAGGTAATATAATTTCTCACTCATCTTTAGATGATTGGTTGAGTGTGTGGCTTTCCTCAAGCATCTCAGCTCACTGGTTGTAATTTTACCTATGTAAGCCTGAGATAATTAAAGGCTATGCAACTTTTATCTGTGGCTTTGAAATAAGTTTGTATGTTCACAACCTTCAGCATATGGACAAAATCTACTGTCTGCTTTGCTTCTTCAGGAACTGATGGATCTGCATAAAGACCCGCCCACAAACTGTTCAGCTGGCCCAGTTGGTGAAGACATTTTTCATTGGCAGGCGACCATCATAGGCCCAGAGGATAGCCCATATGCTGGTGGCTGCTTCAACCTCAACATACATTTTCCTACAGACTACCCCTTCAAGCCACCTAAAGTGGCCTTCTCTACAAAAATCTATCATCCCAACATTAACAGCAATGGCAGCATTTGCTTGGACATTCTACGAGGTCAGTGGTCTCCGGCGCTCACAATTTCAAAGGTGCTCTTATCCATCTGCTCACTTTTAACGGATCCCAACCCAGACGACCCACTGGTTCCAGAGATTGCTCGAATCTACAAGACAGACATTACCAAGTACAATGAAACTGCCCGAGGTTGGACCCAGCGTTTTGCTATGTGATGTTTGCCCTTGCCTACAATATATTCACTTCACCCAATCGAGAACAATCATGTGTAGGACGTCCATTGTAATGCAAGCTTTACTGAGGAACATGTTTTTGCCTACAATATATTCACTTCACCCACCAGAGAACAATCAAGTGTAGGACGTCCATAGTAATCTAAGCTCTACTGAGGAACATGTTTTGCCTACAATATATTCACTTCACCCACCAGAGAACAATCAAGTGTAGGACGTCCATCGTAATGTAAGCTCTACTGAGGAACATGTTTTGCCTACAATATATTCACTTCACCCACCCGAGAACAATCAAGTGTATGACATCCATGGTAATGCAAGCTCGACTGAAGAACATGTTTTGCCTACAATATATTCACTTCACCCACCCGAGAACAATCAAGTGTATGACATCCATGGTAATGCAAGCTCGACTGAAGAACACGTCTTTGCGTACATCCTCAAACAGATTGCCTGCTATTTGACTAATTCATTGCAGACAATATGATGGAAATAACATGTTTGGTCTTCGCCTGGTCACAGTTATTTGTTTCCATTTATTTAAAAAGTTGTCCTGCTAAAATTGGGCGTACAAATCATATCTGTCATCTCTTTCTTGTTAGCTCATGACATTATTTTCTTCTTAACATTCACCAGCATTAAACTGGTGGAACATTCTGATTGTTTGTCCACTTCTTGTTCCATAACTTGAGCCTTCCGTACACATCCGTTTTACAAATCTGGCTATTTTTGTATACAGACTGTTGGTTCCTCGCCTCTCAGGTAGATACAGTTTAACTTCAAAAGAAACAACCCTAATTAGTTGACTTTCATGCCATGGTTTTGAGGGGGTTGGGGGAGGAATGGGTTCCCCCTACCCCTGATTGTTAATTTAACCCGCCCAGCCCTAGTTATTTCACTCCATCTGACCAACACTGAGAAGTTTGTTGGAAGTATTGTCTGTTCATAGCTGAGCTGTGATATGTACGCCATTTGGTCAACATATCCGAGGTAACATTAGAAAGTAATCAGATGGCACTGTTGAATCAAGCTTGTGGCTCAGGATATCCAGCTGAATATTTGTTGAGGTTTGTTTTCCCCAGCCTTTGACTGGCTCCAGTCTGTCTACAAGGCCGCAGGCGTGTGTCACACTTCATCTGCTCCCTTAACCAGTCTGCCTACAAGGCCGCAGGCGTGTGTCACACTTCATCTGCTCCCTTAACCAGTCTGGCTTGGCAGCAGGCTTATGTCCGTCTTCATCTGGTCTCTTGACCCGTCTGTCTGCCTGTTCATATTCCAAAACACCTGCATACCCGGCAAAAATATCCACAGTATGCAGAATGCCAGGAGAACTGAAACTGATTGTTGTCACTCGGCATGGAGCATGTCATCTCCACCTTTCCCAGCATGCTTTGTGAGTCAGTAACCGTCCTGACATGTGTGCAGCTGCTTTTCAGGTTAGTGGAAAACTATAGTGACTGCCTCCACCTCCATTCTCAAACTGAATGTTGTTACAGCAGTTGGGGGGGGGGGGGGGGTGAGATAATGTTTGTCACACAGGAATATCTATATCAGATTGTCAATACATAAGACAGGAGGCAGCAGACAAAATGTCAAAACAGATAACCAATTCTGCATGGCAAGGAGGATGAAGAAACAATTTTAAAAAGTGATTCCTGAAAGCAGATTGTGGCAACACCATCATTTTATGTGAGTCTTTGAATGTGAGATGTTTCCATTGCATGTTCTCACTGAGTGTTATTTTGAGTCGTTAGTACTTCTGTCATTGTGATTCACATGTTTACAAGAATTCTTAAGTGATATTAGTTTACAGCCAGGGATTCCCAGACTGACCAGTGCCACCCTCATAGTAAGTTCTAGGGCAACTGAAGTTTTGAATTAGCTACGATGAAGAAGAGTGTTTATGATTGGCTATATGTATGTATGTATGTATGAAAGTGCTGAGGAAGTGGTTAGACAGGCAAGGAAGTAGCGGTATTAAACACCTTCAGAATCACCGGTTTGCTGTATTATAATTTTGATACATGATGTATTGTATGTTTATTGGTGATATTTAACATTGTATGTGGGTTTTTCCTTATCTTCCAACCTTAGTTCCAACCGATTGTTCAGTTAACTCACCCAGTCCTGGTTATTTAACCCCATTCGACTGACACCCTGAACCTGTTGGAGGCATTGTCTGTCCGTGGCTGAGTTGTGATATTTGCACCATGTGGTCAACATATCCGACATTGAATCAACATGGGAGAAAACACTGCTGGCATTGGATAGTGCACATTGAAAACACCTGACAGTAATGTAATGTAACTATACTGACCTAGTCCTGGAGTTAACTGGACAGTAGAGACCTCTAAACACACACAGAGGAGACAATTAGAGAATGATCTGAGTCGCCTGACCAGGACATGGGACCAGCTAGCTAACTATAGGCTGAGAGAGTGTTGGATAGTTGAGACTCTGTACCCTAGTGGGGAGGATATGGGACAAGATATCAGAATATGGGAGGACATGGGACAAGATATCAGAATATGGGAGGACATGGGACAAGATATCAGAATGGTGTGGGTTGACTAGAGCTGTGTTCTCTTCCCCCATGGTTTTTTTTTTTTTTTTTTTTTTTTTTTTTTTTTTTTTTTTTTTTTTTTTTTTTTTTTTTTTTTTTTTTTTTTTTTTTTTTTTTTTTTTTTTTTTACAGTAACCATGTTATTGTCTTGTAACCTGTCAGTGTTGTTGTTAAGGATATTAAGTGTGTTAAGCACATGACGTCCCAGTGTAGATAAACACACTGTCATAACAACAGTTTACAGATGGCCACCCACTTTTCACATGCACCAGAGAGGGGTATGTGTGGCATGTTTTTCCTTCATTTGCATGCTGACTGCAGTGTTTTCCTGTGAACTTGTGTCAGTATGGAAGTGATGCCTCTTCCAGTCTCTGTCTGACAGCCTGTTCAAGGTAATTGTCTTAAAGGTCTGTTGTGTATTATCACCATTGCTGTTTGTCTTTTGCTTGAAGGTCAGGTTGTGAAAGTTCACCGCTGGTAAATTGAAAGTGAATGATTACTTGCTTACACCATCAAAATAATCAGAATGCTTCAACTTATTGTTCGATGATTACTCGCTTTCACCATCAGAATGCTTCAGCCTATTGTTCAATTGACATATACAAGCTAACTTTCTTGGGTGGTCATTTCGTTAATTGTATTCATACATTTTTGCATGCATTGTTGCCTTGTTTGTGTGTTATGTGAGGTGATATTTGTGGACACAGACAACACATTGCCAGGCACACTGTGCTGTATCTGATGAGATGTATTACTACATTGACATCAACATTTACTGAAGTGCAACAAATGGATTCTTTTGCCTAACAAAACACACAGACCACATTATTTGTTGTTGCAGGGTGCTTCTGACCAGGGGCTATTCCAGATTAACCACATGATTGCCAAAGATGTTTGAGACTTACGGTCAAACAACAGACCAGATACAGCTAAATTTGCCTGGCAGTAAATCGTGCAATGAACTGTTTGTGTCTGAATTTAAATTCCCAGAGGAAAAACGTTGTTTTTGAATTTCTGGTATGCAGACTGGAAATTCAAGTTACCAAGTTTTCATGATCCCAGCTTTGTCTCCATCACCTTTAACTTGTGTTTTTCAATGTTATTATCTTATTTATTTTTTCAGTCTTAAGCAATATTAAGTCATGCAGGTTTTGCTCTGAATTAAGTGTTTTTATTCATATAAATGTGTATTTTGTGTGTGTGTGTGCGTAGTACTGACCAAGCACTTTTTTGTGGTGGTACTGACTGAAGTACTGTCTGCGTCTCAGATTTGTGTTTGTTTATTAAATGAATAATTTGATTATAAAGGAATGTTTTGTTATGTTGCGTATACCTTTGCTAAAATTCCCTGTGCTAGCATTGTTTTGTATGTGTGTGTGGAAACAGGAATTGTTGAGATTGCTTGAAACATTTTGTGATGGTCATGAAATAAACTAATTGTGTGAATACAGTTGTGTTATTGCGGTCTGCATGTTGATATTTTGATTGCTGTTGTGAGTTTCTTTAGAAGTGCAGTGTGCTAGTTTTGTCTCCCTATCCTGTGTCAGGGTATGTTTCTCAGACATTCATGATGCACTTTGTAAGACCAATGTACCAGTCCAGCTGTGGGTGATTCAGTAGCAAACCACCTTGTGTTAATTTCATTAGTGGTGTCCTGAGCCGATCAGCCAGAAGTAGTGGTAAACTCAACCAATCACCAGTTCTTTTACAGAATATCACGGCATGTCTGCAAGTCTCTCTTTCTCTAGCCAGTTCTCCAGCCCTATGTGCTTTCATGGCTAATAAATCTTGTGTCTTGTACCCACCTTCCTGGAGGTGGGCCTTTGCTTCATCTTCTGTAAACTGCACACTCCATAACTGTTCTCTTCAGACCACCATGGTGCTTAACATGGCCAAAATACTTTAGCTTTCAGGATAGGATGCTGATTATGAGCCAATTCTCCTTGATGTTCAGGTCCTTGGTGTCTTTCTTCTTCTTGGTCCATGGTATACTAAGAAGCTGTTTGTAATATTTCAGTTCAAAAGCTCAAATATTTTTCTTCAAAGACTGAGTAAGAGTCCATGACTCATAAACATGAGTTACCTCAGGAAAGATGCCTGACCTCAACATGTTCACTTTCACTGGATTGCAGGTGCTGTGCTATTTGTACTTCATGCTGTTTAGTCACGGCACTGCTGAAGCAAGTCTTCTTCTCACTTCTTTTATGCTTTTGCCATTGTTGTTCATTAGCAGCCTTGCTGTAATCTATAAAACATGAATGGAGATTTGTCTTATACACTTTACATTTCACCCGGATGATTCTCATACTGAAAGAATGATCCCTTGTTCCTTGACTGCATCTAAACAAGTTTTGCTAAGATGGATGGTCAGAGCTATAGTAGGATAGTTGGTAGATAACTTCAGATTTTCTTTCTTTACAAGAGGAATGTAGATTGTTCTTGTCCGTGCTTTGGGTCAATCTGCGCTGTTCCAGATTTAAAATGAAAAACTATTGAACATAAAATTGCCCAGTATACCAAATACGCGCGCCGCGGATCGGAATGGGTGAGACCTGTATCCCAGGCGTCAGCCTTGGTTCTGCAATGAAGTAGAGGCGGCCGGCGTGATGCTGACCACATCAATTTTGTGCGGTAAAAATATAAGCCCTATAAAGGCTAAAGGCGTGGAAATCTTTTTTTACTTACCAAATCTGGCGTCAGTTGGTTCTGCAATGTCCCGTAAATTCGGTAAAGGAAAGGCAACTATCTTTTACTCTGGCCCTAAGTTACATCCTTATAATATAATGGTATCCGTCAGTCCCGGGGGACTATGGAGATGTGCCGCTGGCTTTGGGAACAGCATCTGCTGTGACTGTAAAGTCCGATGCGGAAAAGGCAGTCTTTGCCACACAGGATACACACAAAAGCAGATACTCCCTCGTTGTGAGGCAGTTTTACTCTCCAGTGCCTCCTCTCCACAGCTCGTTGTGTTCGGTTTCTTTCAAAATGTGACAGTCCGTCTTTCACTTTCTGTCTCCATAGTAGTCGATCTGCAGCTGATTTTTCCCATGTCTCTGTGCCTATGTTGGTATCTATTAGGTCACGTTTGCATACATCTTTATAGCGCAGCTTTGGCCTTCCTGTAGGTCTATTCCCAGTTACCAATTCACCATATAGGAGATCTTTTGGTAAACGACCATCCTCCATGCGGGTAGACATGTCCCAGCCAGCGCAGACGTCTTTGCTTCAGTATACAATACATTGATGGTATTTTTGCTCTTGTGAGCACACATTCGTTGGAGACAAGGTCTCGCCATAATATACCAAGGATGCGTCTCAGACAGCGCATATAGAAGGTATTCAGTCTTTTTTCTGTGAAGCATAAGTTACATCCTTAGCAGTCCTAATAATGGGCTGTGTGATTTCCTTTAGTGCTCCATAATTGCAAGTATTCACAGAATTAAGAACATAAGTACAATTTTGTTTTTTAAACAGGAACAGGTTTGGGCACTCAGCACAAAGTGTCAGTTACAGTAGCTCTGGAAAAAGGTACTACACTGCACCTGTGCTGTACCACCAGAAAAAGCTCTGCATACGTACACTATTGGTGCACTGTTGCTGAACCAGACAGCAATAGGGGGTAATGTTGCTTTCATCACACTGCACAGTCTGAAAAATTACCAAGCATATGGACACTATTATCCGAACTAGGCAACCGCTGTAAACTAGTAATGCAGTGGATACCTTCCCACTGTGGAGTTCCCGGAAACGAAAGAGCTGATAAACTAGCTAAGGAAGGTGCAACTGATGAACAACCTGACATACCAGTCTCTTATCAACAGAAGAAGAGAATGATCAAATCAATCAGAATGCCACCGAAACTGGCACAAGATTATTACCATATTATGGACAGACCAGAGCAAGTCATAGTCCTTCGCCTTAGAACAGGGCACAATCGACTTCGCTGCCACATGTACAACAAATTTAAGATTGGCCAATCAGCCATGTGTACTTGTGGACTGGCACCTGAAACAACAGATCACATCCTTCAAGACTGTCCCAGATTCAACGCTTTCAGACAAAACCTTTGGCCAAAAGAGACACTTGTGGAAGTCAAACTTTACGGGCCGCTTAGTGAATTACAAAAGACAGTGAAATTCATACTAGAGACAGCTTTGCAGATATAGATAATTTATTTCATGCGAACGAAAGAAGAAGAAGAATTATGTGAATAGACAGTGTTATAATTATGAAAATAATACACACACCTAGGAAAGGAATATTTGCCTAGAAAAAGCTTTGATAAACAAGAGTCGTTACTCAAAAATATTAGATAAAGCTGTGATGGACATTGAGTCCCTTTGGCAATTTTGAGCCCTTTAAAAAGATAGTGCGGCTCTCAAAAAAGTTATGGACTCGGAGTGATTAGACTTGGCGGAGCTCACCTCCCTGTTGAAGACAGCCTAACGACCTACAGAATCGAAATGCATCGGCACTGGTTTGAGGGCACCGTTGTGCACACCAGAAAGATGTTGCATGAAGCTGTTAGCAAGTCCTAGTCACGTGTTATCGTTGCATTTCATACCACATCTTTTGCAGATGATAATGTACGTTACAGTATGGCTTGTACAGCATAATCCCCTCAATGCTCTACACCCACACCAACTTGTGGTGCAATTTCTTTTTTAAATTATTTTTTGAATTTTTTATTTTAAAGACCTAGCCCAGCTGTTAAAAATATCACAAACTGTGAATATCTAGGCTCTATAATACTAGCAATGGAGACTGTTTTACATAAATTAAAAGGAAGATAGTCTAAGCAATGCAAAGATTAAGCAGCATTAAAAGTCTATGGTTAATCACCAGCAAGGAGATCAAAATTAGAATTTTTGAGAGCATGCATCTTCCTTGTAGCAACATACGGATGTGAGTCGTGGACTATCTCCCAGTCCTCAAGAAAGAGAATAGGGGCTTTTGAGCTGAAATGCTATAGAAAGATTCTCAGAATTGGACAAAGAAGAGGAGAAATATTGACATCTTGTAAGATCTTAACATCAAGTAGGCTAATAAACAGCATTCTTTCTCGGAAGCTGAAATATTTTGGTCATATCAAGCGCCACGACGGATTGGAAAAACTAATTGCAGAAGGCATCGTACAAGGAAGGAGGGACAGGGGCCGACCAGATCGGCACAGAATATGACTCCTTGAGTATGAAAATACATAAGGCGGGAAAACTGGCGAGAGACCGAGTTTCTTTCAGGCAGACTGTGATGACAGCGACGTTCTGCAAAGGACCTGCTTCATGGTGATGATGATAATCCCAGCTGTAGTCGGGTGTCCTAATCTAACCTAACTGTTGAACGTGGTTTCTGTGACTTGTGCCCGGACGATTCTCATCCGAATGATGGCACTTACAATGTCTCAAGGTTTAATCCCTGTTTGTACGATCCTGGTGGGGTTAATTAATCATCATTCATTCAGTGGAATCCCTGGCGTATTTGGCAAGTGGCATTATGGAACCTCATACTACCCGCCGGGACCACACACAGACAAGTCTTGCATACAAGTCTATGTCAAGAGACTGTGCCTTGGATGCAGCCGGCTCTTGACTCGAACTTCCTTACGGTTACGGTCATGTATGTAGGCCACTCAGGAAAGTTCAGAGAAAATCGTGCTGGTGACAGGGTCAGTCCGAAGGATGGAGAGATGCCTGTGTTTTTGGCACAGATGATGTGAGGGTGGTAGGTAAGTGAGAGGATAGGTCTGTTGCGATGATGTTTAGGCCTAGAAGTAAGGACCTCAGCACGACTGTACTAAAAGATAGATACGATGAGTTCAAGGCAGCTTGAAGCCGGTGGAAAAAAATCCCGCATTTCCAGGACCTTATGGTGGAAGTTGTCATTCTCCTGACACAGTCTACGGGAGCGTAGAAGTTGGGAGAAAGGAATGGAATCCTTGCAGGAAGAAAGATGGGAAGATGTATACATGAGAAAAGCTTGGGAATCAATATGTTTATAAATAGGCTTTATGACTTCAAAGCAGTTCAGTTCTCTCCCATATGTCCCATTTTAGATTCAAACGTTGAGTTTGAATCTAAAATGGGACATATAGGAGAGAAGAGATAAATGCAAGAAACTAGATAGGTGGGTAAGATGCGTAGATGGATGGGTAAGATGCATAGATGGATGGATGGATGGATGGATGGAAGGGTAGGATCGTAGATATTAAATGGAATCGTTCTTTGATTCTTGGATAGATTTTCCAACAAGCGTCTGCGCTCTTCTAGTCAGTAATCTGGTAATTCTAGCCAGTACTGTAGCACACGATCTACAAGTCAATAATATCTGGTTCAGCCCTCAGGGTTATACCTTGGGTGTATTTTGTATTTTTAGTGCATACTTTAAGAAGATGAGAAATATTGATATCTTAAAAGATCTGAACATCAAGGAAGATTGGCTAATAAACAGCATCTTTTCTCGAAAGCTGAAATATTTTGGTCATATCAAGCGCCATGACGGATTGAAAAAAATTATAGCAGAAGGCATGGTACCAGGAGGGAGGGGCAGAGGCCGACCGACACGAAGATGGGCACGGGATATAAGTGACTCCTTGAGTGTGAAAGTTCATGAGGCGGGAGAACTGGCAAGAGGCCGAGTTTCTTACAGGCAGACCGTGATGAGAGCGACGTTCTGCAAAGGATCTGCTACATGATGATGAGTGAATACTTTGCTAGTTTATATACCCTGCCAAAAACGGACAATTACTGCCGTTTTGAGACCACTTTTGTGGTGTAGGCAGGGGGTTCTTTGAACCTGAGGATTTCGGCGGCATGGATAGTGCTGTCGCCACGACTGTGCAGGTGAGGATTTTATTTTACCCCGACAGAAAAAATCCCCATCCTTACCGAGGATTCGAACCCGAGTCTCCCGCTTGAGAGCCTAGCGTTTTAACCCTATACTTATTCTTCTTCTTCTTCTTTCGTTCGCTTGAAATAGATGATCTATATCTGCAATTCGGTCAGCGATCCCTAAAGTTTGGCTTGCACCGCCGACCAATTCATCCTTGCACTATTCATCTACCTACCTATCCATCCATTCATCCCTGCATCTATACATCCACCCACCTATTCATCCATGCATCTATTCATCTCTGCATCTATACATCCACCCATGCATCTTTTCATCCCTGCATTTATACATTCACCCACTTATCGAATCTCAGTATTCACCCAGTAATGTTAATAATTTGCCTAACTTATTCATTATTATACAAGGTCACCGACTGACCACTGACCCGTGGACCCACGGTTTTCTAACGGCTACTTAACTGAGCTCACTGCAGAATCTCGAGAGTGGTTCACAGGGTTGTATCCCTTAAATGCGCTCTCTAAACCACAAGAGTTCACATAGAAACTACCAGATATAGAAGATGGCCGAAAGCTCCGAGACGGTTTGTTTGGCAGTGAAACGTTTGGATTTAAATGGTTGGTTTTATAGCATTGTTTCATGCATGCCCTTCTGTAGTTGCAATAATATAAGGAATAGGTGGAAAACATAGTAAACTATATCAGTTTTTTTCTTTGGAATCTTAGAATTTAAATTATTGGCTCTCCTCCGAAGGCGAGAATGAGAATGAATGAATTGAATGACTAGATACTTTAGTCAAATTTTTATGCCCTCTACACCAATAAAACCAGCACAGTTAGATAGCTGTAAACAATCTCTTTCCAACGGTACCTTATTCAGGCTTGTATGTCATTTCTGAGCTGAGATATGCAGGTTTTTGTGGAGATGAGATGTAAAAAATAGCCGCTAAAACTAAAACTTGTCTGAGAAACAAGTTTTCTCTGCGCAACCAAACTGCGCAACTTTCGTTTTGGCTTTGTTTTCATTGGACAAGATGGCAGACAATTTTTCTCAGACACAGCCACATAATAGCGATTGCATGAAAAATCGAAACAGCCACCGATAAGACAGAAATTTTATACACAAATGTAAAATTGGACGGAGAATTTAATTATAATTAGCATTACCATGTCTGGTAATGTTTAAGGTCTAAAGCCAACCTTGAATACTTACCGCTATGTTCAATCAAACTGATGTAACAGAAAGACAGAGGACGTCCGGCTGTCGTAGACATTCGCTGTTAATCGGGTTCATTCCCGCCGTTTTCAGCCATTTATAGCTGGTGAAAATCACACCAATCGCAAAATTTCATGAGATTAAGACCCATCCCGAAACCCAAGCCGACATTTCCCAAACAAGTTTCAAACGGTTTCCATGGTAACGGAAATTGCCAAAAAAGATCGCAAATTGTTGAAACTGTAGTCGCTAGAATGACGGGTCTGTTAGAACGAGCCACGATCGCGTCTAAAAATAATTAATACATTTTCACTAACACTGTAGGTAGGGCCTCAGTCATATGTAAATTGCGAACTCCTTTCCCGCGAATACACTGCGGCAAAAGTTTCTGGTGAAAATTTAGCAAAACGCGAAAGTTATCACAGAATTATCACCATGGCAGACAGACCATCTCCGACACTCAGTGTCACACTGTTAACTCTCCCTTGCATCCTAGGGTTAAGGCAGTGAGTATTTACAATTACGACACCTCCACTAGAAGCTGTCGCAGTTGACCTGACAGTTTATGCATGCAAATGACACAGGCGCAGAGTTACGAAAGCAGGACTAGTCATCCAATTTGCCGCCCGCCCCTGGTGTTATTCGCCGGACAGACATCCTGATTTTAATCCGGCGTGGAATGGGGCTTACTTAACTAGATGGCTAGGACCCACGAGCAGCAGCCGCGGTGGGCTCATGACCGTTAGTGCGCAATTGACACGCGACTGTGGCTCGAAAGGATATTTTTAGTCGGAGGATAGCCTTGTTAATTAATAATAATAATACTTTGCTTAGCAGCAGTCCGGTACATTACTGTCTCCCATTACCGAGGGTGAGGTTTTTCAACCAGCAGTCGCCTCGGACAAACTTCAAACCAGCAGTCGCCTCGGGACAACTTCAAACCAGCAGTCGCCTCGGGACAACTTCAAACCAGCAGTCGCCTCGGGACAACTTCAAACCAGCAGTCGCCTCGGGACAACTTCAAACCAGCAGTCGCCTCGGGACAACTTCAAACCAGCAGTCGCCTCGGGACAACTTCAAACCAGCAGTCGCCTCGGGACAACTTCAAACCAGCAGCCGCCACTCTGGCGCTCCACTATCCCGACGACCCCTTGACCATGGCAGATGCGACCACGCCGGCAGTTTCAACGCAGGAAGTAGCTCATGACTGTTTTCCTGCGACTATAGTGCCACCTCCGAGGGTATCCCCTGCGCTGCGCATAGCGGCGCGGAAGGGGCTAAACTAGATGGCTAGGACTCACGAGCAAATACAATGGAGAAAGCTGCAGGAGAAGCGGTATCTGCTGCTTGTGAGTCCTAGCCATCTAGTTTAGCCCCTTCCGCGTAGCGGTGCGGGGGATACTCTCAGAGGTGGCACTATAGTCGGCGAAAAGTGGTCCGCAACTTACATATAACTGTGGCCCTGCCGTAGGATAGCGGGAGTATTCATGCGTGTCGCTAATTTGTCGTCCGTAGTTAATCATAGTTTTGCCGCCGTTTAATCGTCATAAAAAAGTCTGTTGCGTTTCACGAAATGGTCGTGCGCAATTAATCCTTTTTTTGACACTGTTGAATCGCCGCAAAAGAAATGCAAATTTTAGATATGAGTGTGGCTCTGTTTGGGTTTACTTTCTGCGTAGATCATTTGGGACCGTTATTTAAAGGAGAGCCTAAATTTTTTTTAAACAAAATCAAAAACGAACGTAGGGTTTTAAAACCACCAGAGCCCCGTAACCATTGTGAATGGTTGCTACACATGAAAAAAATATATTATGCAAATAAGTCACATGATCATGGTAGCCAACTTGATTTTGTTTTATTTATAGAAATTTCAGTGGAGTTTGGTTAAATATACTTACCTGTGTACATATTGGCTAAACATTGTTTCCTTGATCAACACTTCAGATGGCATGCATTCCTCACAGTAAGGCTATACTCACCTGTGTGTACAGTAAGCCTGTACTCACCTGTGTGCACAGTAAGGCTATACTCACCTGTGTGTACAGTAAGGCTATACTCACCTGTGTGTACAGTAAGGCTATCCTCACCTGTGTTTACAGTAAGGCTATCCTCTCCTGTGTTTACAGTAAGGCTATCCTTTCCTGTGAGTACAGTAAGGCTATACTCACCTGTGTGTACAGTAAGACTATACTTACCTGTGTGTATGGTAAGGCTATCCTCTACTGTGTGTATGGTAAGGCTATCCTCTCCTGTGTGTACAGTAAGGTTATCCTCTCCTGTGTGTACAGTAAGGTTATACTCACCTGTGTGCACAGTAAGGCTACACTCACCTGTGTGTACAGTAGGCTACACTCACCTGTGTGTACATTAAGGCTACACTCACCTGTGTGTACAGTAATTCTATACTCACCTGTGTGTACATTAAGGCTATACTCACCTGTGTGCACAGTAAGGCTATACTCACCTGTGTGTACATTAAGGCTATACTCACTTGTGTGCACAGTAAGGCTATACTCATCTGTGTACAGTAAGGCTATACTCACCTGTGTGTACAGTAAGGCTATACTCACCTGTGTGTACAGTAAGGTTATACTCTCCTGTGTGCACAGTAAGGCTATACTCACCTGTGTGCACAGTAAGGCTATACTCACCTGTGTGCACAGTAAGGCTATACTCACCTGTGTGCACAGTAAGGCTATACTCAACTGTGTGTACAGTAAGGCTATACTCACCTGTGTGTACAGTAAGGCTATACTCAACTGTATGCACAGTAAGGCTACACTCACCTGTATGCACAGTAAGGCTGTACTCACCTGTATGCACAGTAAGGCTATACTCACCTGTGTGCACAGTAAGGCTACTCACCTGTGTGCACAGTAAGGCTATACTCACCTGTGTACACAGTAAGGCTATACTCACCTGTGTGTACAGTAAGGCTATACTCACCTGTGTGTACAGTAAGGCTATACTCACCTGTGTGCACAGTAAGGCTATACTCACCTGTGTGCACAGTAAGGCTATACTCACCTGTGTTTACAGTAAGGCTATCCTTTCCTGTGTGTACAGTAAGGCTATCCTTTCCTGTGTGTACAGTAAGGCTATACTCACCTGTGTGTACAGTAAGACTATCCTCTCCTGTGTGTACAGTAAGGTTATCCTCTCCTGTGTGTACAGTAAGGTTATCCTCTCCTGTGTGTACAGTAAGGTTATCCTCTCCTGTGTGTACATTAAGGCTATACTCACCTGTGTGTATATTAAGGCTATACTCACCTGTGTGTACAGTAAGGCTATACTCACCTGTGTACAGTAAGGCTATACTCACCTGTGTACAGTAAGGCTATACTCTCCTGTGTGTACTGTAAAGCTATACTCTCCTGTGTGCACAGTAATGCTATACTCACCTGTGTACAGTAAGGCTATACTCACCTGTGTGTACAGTAAGGCTATACTCACCTGTGCGTCCAGTAAGGCTATACTCTCCTGTGCGTCCAGTAAGGCTATACTCTCCTGTGAGTACAATAAGGCTATACTCTCCTGTGAGTACAATAAGGCTATACTCTCTGTGTTTACAGTAAGTCTATACTCTCCTGTGTGTACATTAAGGCTATACTCACCTGTGTGTACAGTACAGTTATACTCACCTGTGTGTACAGTAAGGCTGTACTCACCTGTGTGTACAGTAAGGCTATACTCTCCTGTGTACAGTAGGGCTATACTCAACTGTGTGTACAGTAAGGCTATACTCACCTGTGTGTACAGTAAGGCTTTACTCACCTGTATGTAGAGTAAGGCTATCCTCTCCTGTGTGTACAGTAAGGCTATACTCTCCTGTGTACATTAAGGCTAAATATCTGTTGTGTGCTTCTGTTTCTTGTCCTTCTTTAGATACAGAAATCTCAGATGTGATTTCTTTGAACATCAGCAAAGGGGACAGTGTGGCAGAAGTTACTCACAAAATACGAGTGGCCCTGGAACCCAATGATGCTGACATCATTTTCAAGGTGAGCCTTGCTGCTAAATGAAATCTAGCTGCTGTCCATTTTTGTGTGGACTTGCATATTTGTTTTTTTTTTTCAGTTTTTGTTGTTAAAGGTTTTAATAGTTTCTCTAGTAGGCTATTAGTGAGTTTTTCTCAAGTTTTTATCTTATATATAGGTTTCATAAATTATTCCTTCCCATCTTCTTCTTGGTCTTCCTGTGCCTCTTGATGTTTCCATTCTCATATTCTATGCCCTTGCAGCCTGTGATGCTGGATTCTTTCTCAGCAGGGGCCAAACCACTTCAATCTTTGTAATTTGATTTACTGAAAACCTAAGACTGAAATGGTTTGGTCACCTATTAGAATAAAAGCAGCTTAACCAGTTGCAAGAGCATCTTCTTATTTTGTCGCCTCAATGATACCAGGTTGTAGCCCAGTGTTGTGTTTTTCTATATTTGTCTTGTGCTTCTCGGGTGACTTGGATAAAGGAGTGATCTTTTTGCAGGTTTCAGCTGCACCATTTCTCTTTCTCTTTCTTGGTCTTCTCATCGCCTTCCTCCCAGATTGTCTGCTGTAAAAAGTCTCATATGCAGTTGTTTGGCACTGATAACGTAGTGACAGTGATGCTATTAATCATTTGTTTTGCTGGAAGGAAGACGTTTGGGTGTATAAGCTGTGGGGCTAACTGGTAGATGTCAGCATTTGCCTTCTTTATACCGGCTTCTGTCTCTCTGTCGAGTCTGCCATCCTCTAAATATGCTTCTTAGATATTTGAATTCCCTTATTGTTTGATTGTAGTGGCATATGCAACATGAAAATAAAAACATCAAGAGGCACATGAAGCCCAAAAAGATATATAGATGGGGTTTACAACTTGCTGAAACTAAACAAAATCACCACGCAGCAAGCTATCCTTGGATGTGTACGGAGGGCACGTTAATGTCTAGGAAATGCAGACCTGATGACCTCCTTGGATGTGTATGGAGGGCACGTTACTGTCTAGGAAATGCAGACCTGATGACCTCTTTGGATGTGTACGGATGGCATGTTACTTTTTAGGACTTGCTCAGACCTGATGACACCCTTGAATGTGTACAGAGGGCACGTTACTGTCTAGGACTAATTGCAGACCTCATGACATCTTTGGATGTGTACGGAGGGCACGGTACTGTCTAGGACTAATTGCAGGCCTTGTGACATCCTTGGATGTGTACTAACGGAACGTTACTGTCTAGGACTAATTGTAAGCAAGTCAAGATGACATCCTTGGATGTGTACAGAGGGCACGTTACTGTCTAGGACTAATTGCAGGCCTGGTGACATCCTTGGATGTGTACTGGGGGGAACATTACTGTCTAGGACTAATTGCAGGCCTGATGACACCCTTTGATGTGTACTGAGGGCACGTTACTGTAATTGCAGACCTCATGACATCCTGGAAGGGCACGTTATTGTCTAGGACTAATTGCAGGCCTGATGACATCCTTGGATGTGTACGGAGAGCACGTTACTGTCTAGGACTAATTGCAGGCCTGATGACATCCTTGGATGTGTACTGAGGGCACGTTACTGTCTATGACTAATTGCAGACCTCATGACATCCTTGGATGTGTACTGAGGGCACGTTACTGTCTAGGACTAATTGCAGGCAAGTCCTTGTATGTGCCGGTACAGTTGTGAAGTTCCCCTACTGATCTCGTACTGGTTTTTGAGCTGGCAGACAGGGAGGGGAGCTGTGCAACTGTCCCCATGAAGATGTTACTTTAATACCAATTTAGAACAATCTCTATGAACTTCTGCCATAGATGCAAATCATTTTGCCAGGATCCAACAAATGAAATGCCAGTGCATGGAATAGAGATGACCTGATAGGGTTCTGGGATCCGTCCAGTCTAACCCACTGTGATGGCATCCATGTTTGCTTTGCTAACTTGTCCTCTTTCATTCCTTAGTTGCGCAATACCCAAGGACATTTCATTCCTTTAAATGGAAAGATTGCTGATAGACCTTCCAGCCCCTCTAGGTGAGCAGTTGATACACACATGTCCTGTCTGTTTTTACATGTTAAATCAGTTTTTGTCTTGTCCTTGTTTTGTCAGGTATTTGATGTCCCCTTTTTTCCTTTTTAGGTAAGTCTTTGCAAAGTGCACATTGTTTTAGCCCCCTGTTTGGCTTTATAATTGGGGTTTTCTTGTGTGTAAAGATATGCTTTTTATTTTCAGATATTTTTTTAATGAATTTGCTCTCATTTTTGTCATCTTTTTATGTCAAACATTTTTTGTATGTGTTGAAACTCAACTATCTGTTTTCTCAGTTGCCAAGTTTTTCTCAATTTCCAGCTTTATGCACAGGTGTTATTTTAAAAACTAAAGGAATTATGTGTCATGAACACTTCCATTTTGGTGTCTTAGACGTTTCATGGACATTTCCATTCTGGTGTCTTAGACACACAGTTCCATGGACACTTTCATTCTGGTGTCTTAGACACACAGTTCCATGGACACTTCCATTCTGGTGTCTTAGACACAGAGTTGCATAATTCATAAACAAAATATTTCATCATCCATAAAACAAAATACTGCAGGAATGGATCTCTTTTTCTTCATAATGCATAAGATGAAAGCAAAGCTCCGAATGTCTTCGGTTGACAGTACTCAACTGACATTTCGACAGCTCACTTGATCTAATGTACAAGCCCAACTAGACCAGGTTCTTACATTTCTATAGCACACTTGATCTGATGTACAAGCCCAACTAGACCAGGTCTTTACATTTCTATATCCCACTTGATCTGATGTACAAGCCCAACTAGACCAGGTTTCTTACATTTCTAAAGCCCACTTGATCTGATGTACAAACCCAACTAGACCAGGTTCTTACATTTCTATAGCACACTTGATCTGATGTACAAGCCCAACTAGACCAGGTTCTTACATTTTTAAAGCCCACTTGATCTGATGTACAAGCCCAACTAGACCAGGTCTTTACATTTCTAAAGCCCACTTGATCTGATGTACAAACCCAACTAGACCAGGTTCTTACATTTCTATAGCACACTTGATCTGATGTACAAGCCCAACTAGACCAGGTTCTTACATTTCTAAAGCCCACTTGATCTGATGTACAAGCCCAGCTAGACCAGGTTCTTACATTTCTATAGCACACTTGATCTGATGTACAATCCCAACTAGAATTTATGTGTTGTCATTCAAGTGCTCAACCGTGTGTTTCCAGTCAGAAAGTATCAAATTTATGTGTTATCCTTCAAGTGCTCAACCTTGTGTTTCCAGTCAGAAAGTATCAAATTTATGTCTTGTCCTTCAAGTGCTCAACCTTGTGTTTCCAATCAGAAAGTATCAAATTTATGTCTTGTCCTTCAAGTGCTCAACCTTGTGTTTACAGTCAGAAAGTATCAAATTTATGTCTTGTCCTTCAAGTGCTCAACCTTGTGTTTCCAGTCAGAAAATATCAAATGTTTGTGTTATCATCGCTCTTGTGGAAACACATCCAGCTCTTGTGCAAGCACATTCAGGTGCTCTGCTTTGATTATGCTGTCAGAAAGTATCTAATAAATTTATGTTCATGACCATCTTTGCTTCTACTAGTGTCCTGGTATATTTGGAGCTGCACAATGACTAGGTGCTTGGTGCTTGCCTTTCTGCTCGGATGTCTTGGGTCCAGACACACATCAGGCCTCAGTGTTGGTAAATAGTCCAGTCTCCCAGGTCCACCCAGCTTCCAGTGGGTACCAGAAATTCTTACGGGAAGTCAAGGTGGCCAGCAAGATGGCTGCCTCACCTAGAAAGTCCAAGATTTGTTATGTGGCACCACATGCCTGATGCAGCAGCAGTGGTGTCAGAAGGGTCCTAGTTGCCAGTCATCCATAGACTTTTCTTTTTTCTAATACAAAAAAATGATCTTGGTTCCCAAGTTGACCCAGCCTCAGATGGGTACCAGGTAAAGTCCTGGAAGAAAAAAGGTGGTCAGTGTGAGGTTGCCCACATCAACCACCGATTATTGGTCTATAAAATATAGGTCTAGCCCTATATGCCCAGTAGGCCTGTTGACCAGGAAAAGGGTCATTTACTTTTATACTTTACTTTTATGTCATTAAACTATTGGGGGAAGGGGGGGGCATTGGTATAGGGATCAGCACCGTATGTCAGGGAATTGCTTAATATGTTGACTTTTTAAAATATCCCACAGAGTATAGATGGAGGTAGCTCGGCGCTTTGTCAGGTACTTAGTTTCATTTTAACTTTTTTTTTTTTTAATAATGTTAAATTATTAACACTGACAGTCCCAGACAGTCCGGTAAATGCCTGACAACTGTCTGAGCTAGTTGTTGAGCATCATCGTCATTTTTTACAGTCTGAAGGTAAAGTTGATCATTTCCTGTTTAAAAAAAAATAATGTGTAAGTTTTGGTTGACACTGACAGTCTCCTCTCAGTCCCCTCTATTTCTCTCTTTCTCCCTAAGTCTTTCAGGGTGTTTGTTTCATTTTTGCTCCTCTCACTGCCGTCCATGTTTTTCCCAGTCTTTCCATTTTGTCATACGTGTCGTTTTGTTGGGGTTTAACTTCTCACATCAAGAGATGCAGCTGCCTTTTTTTTTTATGTCCTTGTGTTTTGGTTTTTAACTTGGCTGTCCAAGGTATTTTGGATATTTAATTTTATTTAGTTTAATGTATTTTAATTGGTTATTGATCAGTTGTTATAATTGGTCACTTAACTCAACTTGGTGCGCTTGGTAGCTTCTGATTGGTCACTCACTCTAGTTGGTCCACTTGGTAGCTTCTGATTGGTGACTTTTTCAGTGACAACTTAGTGAGTTGTTGTATTAATTGTTATAACTGCAGGAGGATCTCTTTTCAGCATTTTCCAATTTAACTTTCAGTGCAACCAGAACCAAACTCCCTTACGCTGACACAGTTTGAAGATGAGATGGTGAAAAAACTGGCAACTATACAGGAAAGGGTAAATATACTGTTTCACTACATCTTGTAACTGTTGCCTTGCATTGACCATAGATTATGTTGGGATTTTGTTACATTTTAAGAAGTACTCCCTGGAACGTTTTTTGTGTGTGTGTAAACAGTGTTAAAAAAACACACGCACGTTTGATCCAGTCAGGAAAACACGATGGATAGACAATTTGGTTCAATCGAGCAAACTCGGTGGATAGAAAACTTTATTCAGTCAGTCAGATTCAGGTGCCATCTCCATTATGAAGATTGGCTGCACTGGGTCAACAATAGGTTTCTCTGCAGGGTTCTACAGGTAATACTGTTTCTCTGCAGTGTTGTTATTACTGTTTCTCTGCAGGGTTCTACAGGCAATACTGTTTCTCTGCAGGGTTCTAGAGGTAATACTGTTTCTCTGCAGTGTTATTATTACTGTTTCTCTGCAGGGTTCTACAGGCAATACTGTTTATCTGCAGGGTTCTACGGGCAATACTGTTTCTCTGCAGGGTTCTACAGGCAATACTGTTTATCTGCAGGGTTCTACAGGCAATACTGTTTCTCTGCAGGGTTCTACAGGCAATACTGTTTCTCTGCAGGGTTCTATGGGCAATACTGTTTCTCTGCAGGGTTCTACGGGCAATACTGTTTCTCTGCAGGGTTCTACGGGCAATACTGTTTACTCTGCAGGGTTCTACAGGCATTTTGGCAACCACATCCGACTTCTAAATATAGTACTAGGTTCAGTTTCAATGGACTTCACATGTTTACAAGGATTGTCCTGTTGTGACAAAACCATCAACTAAGAGGGCAGAAAAGCACCCATGATTGTATCTTTATTATGAAGGTTATGTTTCTGTTGAAGTCACTTCTTTTAATAGATACTTACTGATTAGCATATTTTCCTTTGTTGAACTGAAGACAAAAACAAAACAAAAACAGTGCAGTATGTTGGATGTCAGTGCTTGAGAACTGTCCTGGCCAAGTGTTCAAGCCGTTTGCCAGCTGGTCACTTTAAAAGTCAGAGGTTGATTATTTGACCTCCTCATTCAAATCACTACTTTGTAGTCATCACTGGAGCTACATTGATACCATTGACAAATGGCCAGCTGCTTTCTGAGAGTCCAGGCCACACATGGGAGGAACCCTGGGGGAATTAAGTCTTGTCTTCTTACAAGTTTTGTTTTAATCAGCTGTGTTAAATAAACACAAAGGTATTGACATGTAATTAAATCACATATCCATTGACATATTGATAGAAGAAGGCAGTATTGAAATTAAGACCTAATTTTATGAAAAAATCAGCATTCGTAGACTTTTTTTTTAGCCCCTTTAAAATTATTTCAGTTGATAGGAGCAGATGAATTTTTTTTTTTTTTTGAGTATAAAACAATTGTTGATTTTATTTTATTTATTTATGTGTGTATTTGGTATGAACAGATTAATCAGCTTGAGCTGGCAGAGAAAAATATGACAGAGAGACGAGCAGAGAAGCTTAAACAGGTCAGATACATCTGGGGTTTTGTTTCAACTGCCTTATGCTTTGTGTGTGTGTGTGTGTGCTCGTACGCATCTATTTGTCAATTTGTCTTCACATTACTGTAAAGTAATCTAGCTTTCAAATGCCAGTGATCCTTGTGTGGGTTCTGGGGCCCAATTGTGGGGAAGACAAAAATAGATCAGTTGTCTCAGAAACAAGCATGTCGGGAGAGTCGATGGTTCTTTATTATCTTACCCCAGATGATGTCACAGGAAAGTCTAGCATTTTTGAGGGTTTTAGACTGGGTTTCCCGGCTTTCTGATGCTTTTAACGACCCCTAAACATCTAGAACTGCCCCTAACCCCAACCCACCTACGTCCCACGAGAGAGTGCAGCCTAGGTCCTACGAATGCATGCAGCTTAAGTCCCACGACTAGATGCAGCCTACCTAACACCCCCTAAAATATTAGACTGTTCCGTGACCTTTGGATTTCCCCTGTTTATGGTAGGATATTAATATAGCACCGAGTCGACTAACTGGGGGCTTCCTTCACAGTCAGAGTGCATCTGCCTGAGAGGCAAGGAACCAACAGTTTGCATACAGTTAGCAAGATCTGTGAAATGGATGCACACAAAAAACTCAGGTCCTGGAACAAAGCCAAAGTCCAGAAATAGATGAACAACCAGGTCTTTCCATCATGGTTTACAGCAGATGAGGGCAAACAACAACAACAAATTCCAGTTAATTAACAGATGAGGAAAATATGCTGACACTGGATAGGACACACTGAGAAAATCTGATAAAATGTTTCTTCACTGGAAGCCACAGCTCTAAAGTTATGAAGGAAAGAGGGAAAACTAAGGTGAATGAGAAGACATAAAGTAAGCTGAATGAGAGAGCAAAAGTTAATCTGGCTTGGTGTAGGTTGGTTGAGGGGGAGACAGGACAGAAAGATAGAACGGCTTGTTTAGTTGAGGGGGAGACAGGACAGAAAGATAGGACAGCATAGGTTGGTTGAGGGGGAGATAGAACGGCTTGGTTAGTTGAGGGGGAGACGGGAGAGAAAGATAGAACGGCTTGGTTAGTTGAGGGGGAGACAGGACAGAAAGATAGGACAGCTTGGTTGGTTGAGGGGGAGACAGGACATAAAAATAAAACGGCTTGGTTGGTGAGGGGGAGACAGGACAGAAAGATAGGATAGCTTGGTTGGTTGAGGGGGAGACAGGACATAAAGATAGAACGGCTTGGTTAGTTGAGAGGGAGACAGGACAGACAGATAAGATGGCTTGGTTGGTAAGGGGGAGACAGGACAGAAAGATAGGATAGCTTGGTTGGTGAGGGGGAGACAGGACAGAAAGATAGGATAGCTTGTTGATTGGTTGAGGGGGAGACAGGACATAAAGATAGAACAGCTTGGTTGGTTGAGGGGGAGACAGGACAGAAAGATAGAATGGCTTGGTTAGTTAAGGTGGAGACATGACAGAAAGATAGGACAGCTTGGTTGGTTGAGGGGGAGACAGGACATAAAGATAAAACGGCTTGGTTGGTGAGGGGGAGACAGGACCGAAAGATAGGATAGCTTAGTTGGTTGAGGGGGAGACAGGACATAAAGATAGAACGGCTTGGTTAGTTGAGGGGGAGACAGGACAGAAAGATAGGACGACTTAGTTGGTGAGTGGGAGACAGGACAGAAAGATAGGATGGCTTGGTTGGTTGAGGTGGAGAGAGGACAGAAAGATAGGACGGATTGGTTGGTTGAGGGGGAGACAGGACAGCTTGGTTGGTTGAGGGGGAGACAGGACAGCTTGTTTGGTTGAGGGGGAGACAGGACAGAAAGATAGGACGGCTTGGTTGGTTGAGGGGGAGACAGGATAGCTTGGTTGGTTGAGGGGGAGACAGGACAAAAAGATAGGACGGCTTGGTTGGTGAGGGGGAGACTGAGGGGGAGTCAGGACAGCTTGGTTGGTTGAGGGGGAGACAGGACAGAAAGATAGGATGGCTTGGTTGATTGAGGGGGAGACAGGACAGAAAGATAGGACGGCTTTGTTGTTGAGGGGGAGACAGGACAGAAAGATAGGACTTCTTGGTTGGTGAGGGGGAGACAGGACGGCTTGGTTGGTGAGGGGGAGACAGGACAGCTTGGTTGGTTGAGGGGGAGACAGGACAGCTTGGTTGGTTGAGGGGGAGACAGGACAGCTTGGTTGGTTGAGGGGGAGACAGGACAGAAAGATAGGATGGCTTGGTTGGTTGAGGGGGAGACAGGACAGCTTGGTTGGTTGAGGGGGAGACAGGACAGAAAGATAGGACAGCTTGGTTGGTTGAGGGGGATTCAAGACAGCTTGGCTGGTTGAGGGGGAGACCGGACAGAAAGATAAGACAAGGACAACTTGGTTGGTTGAGGGGGAGACAGGACAGAAAGATAGGACAACTTGGTTGGTTGAGGGGAAGAGAGACATAGGAGTTTTTAAAAAAAATAGTTTACAAATTGTCATGTCACAGTGACATGTGACTTCACAGTGACATAATTTCATTATTGCATTACACTGCTGTCTATGGCGAAGTGACCGGATCCACTTGTAAATGTTAAGAGGGAAGAAAATTGAATTCTTTGCTGTGTTTGTATTTAGTAATTACTTTCCTTGACATAGAAATAAATCTCTCCCTGATTGACTTATATGTGACTGGGAAAATGTTAAATGTGTCACTTTCAAAGACACCCTTTTCTCTGTATTCTTGTGGGTTTGACATCCTGTGAAACTGTACAAACTGACCAAGACTCATAAAGTTCTTCGTGGCGCGGTGATTTCGGTCACAGACATGAGGCAAAGTTAAGTCTGATGTGAGATGTATAAGGAGATACTCCGTACCCCACTCGGGTGCCAGTCCTTCACTGTTCTGGTTTTACGGAACCTCATGCAAGACTCCTGCTGCACGTCCCCGTCGTGCGCCACGGATAATGTCTCAAATGAGCATTAACAGAGTTGGCAGGGGATCTCGGAGCTGGCGGCCCCTAGAGGTGTAGTCTCCTTTCTGGCTCTCACCAGCCCGCCCCCAAACGCATGGGTGAAAAGTCTAACAAAACTCAAGAATTGCTTGCTAAATGTACCATCAAATGACAACTCTTGGTTAAAATTCGGGAGGGAATTTAAAACTGTGCTGCTGAGACTCAACCCTGAACGAGAGATTTACCCGCAGCCAAGACGAGTAACATCTCTTGTGGGTGACTTCTCGCAGCAAGATCCTACCTACGTACATCCTCAATCCTCAGTGTCGCCGTCACCGCGCTGAGGTACACCACGGCAGCAGCTTTTCATATGCTGGCTTGGAAATAATGTCCGACAAAGTTATACCCCACCGCACACATGCAAGCTCAGAGTACGACGATCATAATTCGTACCGTTTAGGAAAAAAGTCCGAATGTCCGTATCCACTGGTCCAACTCGCCCGAGTGTTGGGACCAAACAGGTGAAGCGACGCCTGACGCATTTTGCTTCCCCATTCTGTCGTGCTAAGGGCACAGCTGAAACAACGTTAAAGGTGTCTAATGTAAGATGAAAAAGAATGTACCTATTTGTGTGGCCACAAACGTCCTAGACCTGCGGGCTGCTCCCCACTGATCTCCGGAGAGCGCAGCCTTGTAGCGCGGGAAGCTCAATACACGGTTGTGAGGTTAAGCAGTCATGGGCAGGACGTGACGATTCCTTGGGTGAGCCCAGAACCAGAGCATCATGTGTCGGCTCTGCATTTATGGAAGCCTCCTTGGATGGCGGGGAATGCCCATGATCTGCCCCTGCCTTCCCTTGAGGGCTGAAAACTCTACATAGAGCTGCCTTAAGGACGACATTCCGGGGGCCACACCTGTTAAAAGTCAAAGAGGACACCACACAAATGAGGCAACATCTCGACCCACACAAAACAATGGCCACAGTCAACCTAGAAATAGGCTTGACGTCTTCCTCCGAAGTCGGAGTATATCTGCCGGGGAGGCGGGGAACGAGAACTGCAAACAAATAAGCCAGTAAAACGGATGTACACGCAAAACTCAGGACAAGGTAAAAGCCAAAAGTCCATTTTGGGCGAACAACCGCGACTTACCGCCGGAATTCACAGCCGGTGAACAAGAAGAAGAAGAAGATAAAGTTCTTCAGCTTCTTCTTTTGCCTTCTGGTTTCTTTTAGTGTCCAGAGATGCATTTTTTAAAACTAATTAAGATTTTTGTGTAATGAAAGGGTTAAAGCACAATCTTGTCCTGTCCTAGTCCAATGCTGTTGAACCTCCTGTCCTGGACCATTGCTGTTGAACCTCCTGTCATAGACCATTGCTGTTAAACCTCCTGTCATTGGCCATTGCTGTTGAACCTCCTGTCCTGGACCATTGCTGTTGAATCTCCTGACATAGGCCATGTTGAACCTCCTGTCCTAGACCATTGCTGTTGAACCTCCTGTCCTGGACCATTGCTGTTGAACCTTCTATCTTAGATCATTGCTGTTGAACCTTCTGTCCTGGACCATTGCTGTTGAACCTCCTGTCATAGGTCATTGCTGTTGAACCTCCTGTCATAGGCCATTGCCGTTGAACTTTCTGTTTTAGACCATTGCTGTTGAACCTGTTTTAGACCATTGCTGTTGAACCTCCTGTCATAGGCCATTGCTGTTAAAACTCCTGTCTTAGACCATTGCTGTTGAACCTTCTGTTTTAGACCATTGCTGTTGAACCTTCTGTTTTAGACCATTGCTGTTGAACCTTCTGGTCATAGGCTATTGCTGTTGAACCTCCTGTTGTAGGCCATTGCTGTTAAACCTCCTGTCGTAGACCATTGCTCTTGAACCTCCTATCACAGGCCACTGCTGCTGAACCTCCAGCCTCCTGTCCTAGACAATTGCTGTTTAACCTCCTATCACAGGCCTCTGCTGCTGAACCTCCAGCCTCCTGTTCTAGACAATTGCTGTTTAACCTCCTATCACAGGCCACTGCTGCTGAACCTCCAGCCTCCTGTCCTAGACAATTGCTGTTTAACCTCCTATCACAGGCCTCTGCTGCTGAACCTCCAGCCTCCTGTCCTAGACCATTGCTGTTTAACCTCCTATCACAGGCTTCTGCTGCTGAACTGCCAGCCTCCTGTCCTAGACCATTGCTGTTGAACCTCCTGTCATAGGCTATTGCACCTCCCGTCATAGGCTATTGCTGTTGAACCTCCTAGACCATTGCTATTGAACCTCCTGTCCTAGGCATGGTTTGCTTTTAAATTGATTGCAGCTGATTTGACGAGTTGAGTCTGGTATGTCAGAATTATGTCCATAGCTCTTGAGCTAAATATTGCATTTGGTCTAGACAAGAGTAAGGCTAGCACCATATGTCCCAGTACAGCTCACTGTCAGCAGGACTTTTTTCATCAACTGTTCATTTGTTGACAGGAAGTGTTGGTGCTGCAGGCTACAGTGGACTTCATGACAAGACGTTTTGAGGAGTCCGAATCTGTTCACTGGAATGGAATGTTCATTCGGTATCCGTTATGGTGATCTGATTGTAGCATATTCAGAGAATTGTTTTTCAGCTGCATGTAAACACAGCAAAGAGGTCCCAGCCATCAAGCATGGCTGTCCACAGTTGACACCCAGGGGGGATATGTTACCTAGACGCAGCTGTATCTTGTACTGTTGAGGAATTCTCTGTTTGTGATTAGGACATGTGGCTAAATGTCCCACCAACTGTTTATTTATTATTGCATCCATTATTGTCATGACCTCAGGAACCTCCAGACATGTTTTTTGTAATGAGTAGAGGAATTGTGGTTAATAACAGTTCTAGGTGGGGAACTAAAGGATGTTCAGGGGGCTGCTTAGGAGACTTCTTTCTGAGACTGGACATTTCTGAACCTCACAAATAGGTAGGCCCTTAGGAGATTGGGCATTTCTGAATCTCACAACTAGGCCTTTAGGAGACTTATTTATGAGATTGGACAATTCAAAATCTCACGAGTTGGACAGTGGGTAGGCTGTTGATTGCACTTTAGGGAGATCACTGAGTGGACAGTTGGCAGACTGCTAAGTGCACTTTAGAGAGATCACTAAGTGGAAAGTTTGCAAGCTGTTGATTGCATTTTAGGGAGATCACTGAGTGGAAAGTTGGCAGACTGCCGAGTGCACTTTAGGGATATCACTGAGTACCCAGTTGGCAGGCTGTTGATTGCACTTTAGGGAGTTTATGAGTGGACAGTTGGCAGGCTGTTGACACTTAGGAAGTTCATGAGTGGACAGTTGGCAGACTGCTCAGTGCACTTAAGGGAGATTACTGAGTACACAGTTGGCAAGCTGTTGATTGCACTTTAGGGAGATCACTGAGTGGACAGATGGCAGACTGAGTACACTTTAGGGAGATCACTGAGTGGACAGTTGACAGACTGCTGAGTACACTTTAGGGAGATCACTGAGTGGACAGTTCACAGGCTGTTGATTGCACTTTAGGGAGATCACTAAGTACACATTTGGCAGGCTGTCAAGTGCACTTTAGGGAGATCACTGAGTACACAGGGCAGGCTATTGATTGCACTTTAGGGAGGCTGCTGAACAGAAAGTTGGCAGAGTGAATTCTGAACAGTTGACAAGACTGTAAAGTAGACTTTGGAGAAGACTGACGTGTAAAATCCTTTAAAAGCAGCTGGATTTCTCTGTCCTGTATTTTAAAACATTAAATGAGCAAAGTGCCCGGTGAGCAGCTTGCTCAATGAACATTGGATCTGAGACATCAGACCAAACTTTCATCACATGTTTGGGTTCTTACCTCCAGATCATTCAAGCAGAGGTTATCTGTTACTGACATTTTTTTGGGAATTTTTTTTTTTTTTTGACCTTTGAAAACGAAACAGATTTGATAGGTTTGTTTTATTGACAATGCTCATTCACTTTGTTGATGATTCTTTTGTTATCCAGTTTATATTTTGTTACTTTGTGGAATTTACTGGCAGTGATGCTTCAGTTTCCCAGTTTAAAATTTATTGGTGATTCTTACATCACCCCATTTATACTTTACTGGTGATTCTTACATCACCCAATTTATACTTTACTGTGATTTTGATATTGCCTAGTGTACCCTTGTTAGTGATGGTTCCCATGATCCATTTTTTTCCCCTTTAGTTTTTGTTAATTTACAACCAGTTATTTCTGTCAAGTGCTGCACATGTTTAAAGACTTTAATTATTCAGCTTGCAGTTCGTGTCTGAGGTATTGCCCCGTTTATATTATCACATTTGTGTATGTATGGACGTTTGACTTTCTTTATATCTGAAAATGATTCCAATTTTCTTCAGCTGTAACTCCAGATTCATTGTTTATCATTTTATTTGTCTATTTGTTTATCTTGATTTCAATTTTATGTTGGTTGTGAGAATATTTAATATTCATTAGCTAGGTGTCACTCAATATTGAAAATGTTTTTTGTGTTGACAGTCCTGGCTGTTACTTTGTTACATCTTTTTTGTTTTGGTATTTGTTTTGTTACATTACTGCAAAGCACAATAAAGACAAGTGTCTGTACATTTGATGGAACAACTTAGTTTGTTGGTTTTGATGCGGTATAACTCATTGAAGCTGCCTGATTATCTCCTTTGTTATTTCAGCTACCTCTGTCACTGTGGCTAGCTTTGTCACTGTTGCTATCTTCGTCACTTCGAATATGTATGTCATCATCATGACCCCCTTGTCACTGCAGCTACATTTTTGTCACTGCAGCTACCCCCGTCACTTCAGCTAGCTTGTCACTCCAGCTATTTTCATCACTTCGGCTACCTCCGTCACTCCGGCTACCTTTGTCACTGTAGTTAACTTTGTCACTGTGGCTACCGTCATCACTGTCACTCTGGCTAGCGTCGTCACTTTGGCTACCTTTGTCCCTGCAGCTACCTGGTCACTTTCGGGTGATTTACTGAGACTTTAGCTGCTGAATAACTACGTGTCCAAAGTCCATTTTGGCAATTAATTCAGATCTGAATGTGCTGTTAAATTTTATGGCGAATGTCTTCGTTTATGATGTGGTCTCTGTATGAAATGCAAAGAATCTTTCTGAAACATCGCATTTCTAATGCTTGCATCTTTCTTTCAAGTTCAGCTGTTAAGGTCCATGTTTTGCAGCCATATGTAAACGAACTAATAACTAGTGCTCTGAGCAATCGAATCTGTTTTGCATGAAATGTTTTTGGTTCTCCATACTGTTTGCTACTCGGCAAGGACTGATGTCTGGTCAATCCTAGACATAATTTCTGGTCTTGACCCCAAGTCACTTAAAGTGGATCCTAAATATTTGAACTGGCTGACTTGCTCTAATTTGTGGCCTTTAACGTAGGTTGGTGAAATTCTGTCAGCTGGATTATAAGTCATTACTTTGGTTTTATTCTGCGTTTATTTCTGTGCCATACTTGGTTGCTGTTTCATCAAGTAGATTTACAAGCACGACTAGCTCTTGTTCTTCTCTGGCCAACCCATCGATGTCATCTGCAAACCTTGAGTTTGTTATAGTTTGACCTCCTAAACTGACCGTTCCATGATGATGTTCTAAGGCATCAGTCATAATTCTTTCTATAAAGATGTTAAACAGTGTCAGAGAGAGGAGGCAGCCCTGACAGACTCCTACTGTTGTTCGGAACCAGCTTCCTATTTGTCTGTTCAGCGTGACAGCACTGCTGGCCTTGGCATAGAGCTGTTCTGTACTACATATGAAGGTTTTACCCATATTGTACTTTTTCAATGGTCCCAGAGTGCTGCACTTTATTGACACAGCCACATATTCTCACACAATCGTTCTCACATATTCACACAGCACTCATCTTTATTTATCCAGCACCATATACCCACAATCATTCTCACATACAAGGCCTGACAATTAAGTAATGAGACTAATTCCATAAAAATTAAAATAGTTGAAGATATAACCTGTATTTTATTCAAAGTAAGCCTCTTTGTGATCAGTTTTCATCATACAGCAAGTGGCACGATCTAACAAACATTGCAACAACCTCTGTAGTTCTTCTGTTGTTATGGCCCTTAAAGTCGATGTTCAGCCCTTTTTATGTCATACATATTGTTAAAGAAGCGTCCTTTCAATCGTAACTTTAATTTTGGGAATAGAAAATAATCACAGGGAGACAAATCTGGGGAATAGAGTGGAAGACTGAGAAGAGACACTTGTTTTTGGGCCAAAAATTCTTGTTTTGATGATTGTCTCTTGGGTATTCAACCCGCTGATATTTTTGGTCATCAGACAACGAATGTGGTACAAACTGGCAAGCACCTTTTTTCTTACCAAAATCTTGCACTCAGATGTTATGAATGGTCTCTCTGTTAAGATTCATCTGCCATCATCCTCACAGTAAAACAATGATCTTCTTATATCCGTTCTCTGACTTTTGCAATGAGTTCATCATTACGAACAGAAATTTGGCATCTAGGTCTAGGTGCATTAGTAATCATTTCCATACCACTTTTGAATCGTGAATACAATTATCCCCATAAACTTGTTGCATCAGTTCAACTGTTTCAATTGCGCTATTTCTTAGCTCTAAAAAGAATTTACGGTTAGCTTTTTGCCCCGTGCTGATTACATAACAATGCATCTCTGACTACGTCAACAAAATAGCAGCTTGTTTGTTGTCCGTTTATCGAGCGACGATGAAAAGTTGCCAGATTATAGATGAATGTTGCCTCTTTAGATCCCTTGCTTTGCTTCATAGATAGCATTTTTGTCTTGGCCATAACATCAGTCTCATTACTTAATTGTCAGACCTTGTATTCACACACATCACTCATCTTTATTCAGACATCACTGATCTTTATTCACACAGCCACATATTCTCACATATTCACTCACAGCACTCATCTTTGTTTAGATTCAGGTTTAGACAGCAGATCAAAATCATGGCACAAGGGTAGTAACCTATAAATGCTCCGTTCTACTTCTGACTCAAGCCAGAGCCCGAAGAATCTCAGCCAAGTGCACGAACTCTGTAGCACTAGTGAAGGTTCTAAAATAATTTGGGTAGATTTTTAACTCTAAATTTTGCCAGGGCAGCGCAGTTAGGCTACTCTTTTTAGTTTCCGACAGCCGAGGGATTTTTATTTACGTGCGCAACAATACACACGGGCGTCCGACCCAACTACCCAGAGACCATGGGAAATTACTCGAAGTCCACGTGGAGAAAAAAAACCTAGCTTGAACCCGGGACCTCCATCACTCGGGGCGGACGCCATGTCTCGAGACAACGCAGCACCCCATCTTTATTTACACAGTACCACATTCTCATACAGTCGTTCTCACATAATCACACAACATATTCTCACACAATGGTTCTCACATATTCACTCACAGCACTCATCTTTATTCACGCAGCAACATATTCTCACACAATGGTTCTCGCATATTCACACAGCAACATATTCTCACACAATGGTTCTCGTATATTCACTCACAGCACTAATCTTTATTCACACAGCAACATATTCTCACACAATGGTTCTCACATATTCACTCA